AATCAGAAAGGAACTGGGAAGGAAAAGGAAAGAGGAAAGGGTTGTGGCCATCCTACAGGGATGCAGGATGTGAAATGCACACAACGTAGTTCCCTCTGCCCACACCCCTCCGGTGTGAAGGTGGCACCTGTGGGATGGGGGCTGGAAGGTACAGCCCTGCAAGAAGCCACCTTTCGGGTTGTCCCTACACTGATGGCCATGGTCCCTGCAAGTTCTGAGGGCTGTGTAACCCTGGGAGTGGGGTCTGGAGACACAGGAGCCAGAATCCTGATGGAGCCAGAGGGGTGGAAGCCCCTGACATGCCGATTTTTGTCCCCCGTGTGTGGTTTGGGTGCAGAGGTTTGCTGCCATCTCCTGGGTACCAGCAGCACCACTGAGCCCAAACTGGCCCTGCTGGAGCTGGGGCTCTGCAGGGACCAACCCCAGGGCCACCACTGGCCCCAAAGAGCCGAGCCCACATCCCTGCAGCAGCCGGGCTGTTTAAAGCCCAGCTCTGGCTGTGAAGCCAGATAGGTCCCAGGCACGGCCACGGCACATCCCACCTCATTTCTCCTCCTGGAATCTCTGTCTTCCCCTCACACAGATGCTACAACTGCGGCGGGCTGGACCACCATGCCAAGGAGTGCAAGCTGCCACCACAGCCCAAGAAGTGCCACTTCTGCCAGAGCATCAGCCACATGGTCGCCAACTGCCCCGCGAAAGCACAGCAGTCCCCCAGCTCCCAGGGGAAACCTGCCTACTTCCGAGAGGAGGAGGACATGCACAGCTCGGCCCTCCTCCCTGAGACCCGGGAATGATGATGAGTGGCAGGGAGAGGGGGGATTCCACCGGGATGAAAAGGCTTTGGCAAGGCAAGGGGCAGCTGTGGGGGCTCAGAGGAGGGAGGGCAGGGTGAAGGACTGGGGAGGGCAGACAGCGGGGACCCGGTGTCCCTGCACAGACCTTCCCCCTGTTCCCAGGCTGGGAAAAGCCCTACTTTAATCAGGATGGATCGTTCCAAAAATAGGGGAAGGCATCACCCAACATAACCCTTCCAACTAAAAAAACCCAAACATATTTAATCCACCTTTATTCTTTCCCTAAATTAAGCCAGGCGGCAGTGTCTCGGGGAGGAGGAGCAGAGGAGCCACATCACAGGGAGGAGCTCATGGCTCCTTGTTCTCCTGAGCTTCAAACAGGCTCTGGCACAGCTTGGATGAGCTGCAGGGGACCCACTCCTGCTCCTGCCCTGCCCCAGGGAGGGAGGCTGAGGGGAAAGGCTGGCTGTGGAGTGCCAGGGAGATGCCCATGGGCCGGTCCCATGGGTCCCTCTGCTCCTTGTGGCTTCTCACTTCCAGGGCAGTGTGAGGATTCGCAGTTTTTCTGTGGTTGCTCCATTGCTGACACCAGCAGAGCCCGGATTTGGGCTCAGCCTGGGAGGAAATGGATCATCCCTCAGGGTCAGACCAACACCACTTTCTCATGGGCTGTGACCTGCGGCCTGGGGGAGACCAAGTCAAAAGAAAACCACTTGTTTTTCCCCCAGTCCCTCCCAAGTGCCAGCCCAGAGAGCATAAGGTGTTTCATGCAGCCAGCTCTTCCCCTCTAAGGCTTCTCCCTGCCTCTGGAACAGGAGCTGGGAAGTGGGAGGGTTTCATGGAGCAGGAACGCTCTTTGTTAAGCCTTGGGCACTGGGCACGGGGCAGACCCAGCTCCCGGGAATGCTGCTGGCAGCATTTCCTTTGGAACCCATGTACACATCCCACCCAGGGCTCACATAGATCCAGCCATGGCCTGCTCCAGACACCAGATTGGATCTTCCCATGGGCTCTGGATCAAACCCACACAGGACAAACACACACCTCTGCTCCTCCTGCCCATCCCACACTCCAAAAATTGATGGCTCTGGGGCTGAGCCTCCCCCAGAACAGAGGACAAGGGTGTCCCCAGGTTAGTGGCTGCTGTCCCCTCTCCTCATGGCCCCCCCCAAGTCTTGCCTTTATTTATTGGCCCCGGTGGACACCCCTTCTCCCAAGGCAGCCCCCCCAGGCCGTGCCAAAGCCAAGGCCAAGTGAAACCTGCACTAGGACGTGCGTGAATGACGTATCTTTGGGTTTGTTTGTCGTCTTTGTTTTGGGTTTGTTCTTTTTTTTTTTTTTTAATATAAATATTCTGGTTTTGTATTTTTGTATATTTTAATCTTTAAGAAAAGAAAAGGAAAAAGAAGAAAAAAAAAAGAGAGAGAGAGAAAAAGGACATAATTCCTGCAACTTATTCTCAGGTATTCGAGCAATCTCAGGGATAAAATGGCTCTGTAGCCCAGTGCTGGACAGAGAGGAGGGTTTTTTTCTAACAGCACAAAGAAGTGATGAAGTTTGTATTGGAAGTGTAGATCTACCTCACTGCATGTTTGCTAGGTGGGCTGACGTGTTGTCGAGCTTTTCAGTTGTGGTTTTTGGTATGTTTGGGATTTGTTTTCTTTTTAACTGTATTTTAATAGTCTCTCTCCCTTTCCCATGCACTGATGGACGAATTTGGGTTTGCAGATCTGTGTGTGAGGATGGAGAAGCCAGGCAGTGCCATGGGGCAGGGAACAGCTGCTAGAGCCCATGTCGGCTCCCCAACTCCAGAGTTTTTCCCAGCCTGGTGGCTTTTGAGGACTGTCCTCTGTTTCTCTCTCCTGTTTATGCTCATACACCCCTTCCCCACCATCCCAACGGGAACACTGCAGCCCACCCCGAGCCTGAGCCCTCCTGTTGCCCAGGGGCTGGGGTGTCACACAGGCTCCCAGCAGGCTGGTGCCGTGTGGTCGGGGGTTGGAAAGCCAGGATGGCAGGCCCAGCCTAATTCAGGGTCCCAGCCCCATTCAAGGGAACATGGCAAGAGCAGACAGTGGCCAGTAGGGTGTTGGGAGACTGAAGGTTATCCTCAATCCCTCAGTCCCCTGCCTTGAGCTGAGGGCTGGCTGTCCGTGACCCTCTGGGACAAGGGACCCGATTCCAAGTCCAAGGGAGGTGAAACTGCTCCATATTTTACTCCCTTCCCGGCTTCCCTCAAATGCTGACTCACCATGGCTGGGGGAAACTCTGGATGCCAGTTTTTGGGGCATTAACACTCCACTTTGCAGCCTTCCCAGGGAGGGCATCTCGCCGTGCCGGTGTCGGGCCATGGGCGCAGTTTCCGCTGGTTTTTAGTAGCAATAGGTTTAGATGTAGAGCAGGGCTGGATCAGATGGGGAGCACTGACTCCATCCTCAAGGTTTGGGGTCACCAGGGGGACTTGCTGAGGCTGCTGGAGCCCGGTGACCCCCGACACGAGGGCATTGAGGGGGATGGAGAGCGGCTCCCCAGCTGCTCCCTGCCTTGCTCCGGTAGTTTTATGGTGAGGTGGTGGTCTCTTCTTGGGAGGGGTGGGAGGGGGAAGGACTTTTAGTTCCTGGCTAGCAAAAGGATCTATACAGAACTACTTCAGGAAAACAGCTTTAGTGTGACGGGGTAAATGCAATAGAGCGTTGGTGGGGGGCTCTTGGCCTCCCCTCGGCACCTCGGCTGTGCCAGGGAAACTGCTGCCCCCCTAATTCCTGTATCCATCCTCAAGAATCCTGTAGGACCTTCCCCCCCCCTTCCTGCTCCCACTTTAATGGTCTGGTGATTTTTTCTGCTAGATGTCTAGTGTGTGTGTGTAAATACCTCTGTAAATCTTTCCATTTTCTCTCAGTATTCTCCTTGATTATTGTTTACAAAAATAAGAGGAAAAAAAATTTAAAAAAAAAAATAGCCAAATGATCTAATAGGTTATGGACCAGGGAGATGGGATCTGCTCTCCCACATAGAGCTGCCAGGTATGAGCTCTGTAACCATCCCTGTCCTGGGCTAAAGCAAATAGAGGATCACTCAGGTTTCCCCCGGGGCCAGAGCGGTGCCGGGATCCAAGAAAACAGGGATTTTTTTAATCTGCAAAGGGGAAGCCACGCCGAGAAATGATGGGATTGATTCTCATCATCACCTCCTTGCGTTTGCCATTGTGGTTCTTCCCGTAATCTTTGACAATAATTAACTGAATTGCTGCATCATCACCCACCCTTGCCCATGCTGGGCACTATGCATGAGGGGATGGGGCAACGCTCAGGGTTCTGCTGTGACACGGGAGTGTTTGAATGTATGAGGAATAAAATAAAGATATCCCTCAGGAGGGGGGTGTCTTGCCCTGGGGCAAAAAGCCTCGAGTCCCCCAAAAATTGTCTACGAGGAGACGGAAGAATGTAACCCATGTTTACTGCTAGCAACCAAAGTTTGTGTCAAACCCGTGAAGTTTTATGGAGTTGGGTGGGAGGGAGGGGACGAATCGGGGTGGCTGTGTGTGTGTGAGGCTCAGGGTGACCCCTGAGTAACTCACACTTTTCCAAAGAGATTCCCTGCTGGAGTCCCTGCAGTGAGATCCCCCAGTTCCTGTTGCCGCAGGTTTCCCCCCTCCACCCCATTCATTTTATTTTGGGGGGTTTTTTGTACCAACTATGTAAAATGTTGTCTGGGGAAAAAAAATAAAAATAATAAAGACCATGGGCAATGGCTGCTGGTGATGCTGTGTGTGTGGTTACTCTTGTTTTTCTCCCCTGGGGTTGAGGAGCCCAGACCCCAAAACGGGTGTCAGGGCAGGGAATTGGGGTATCCGAGAAACCAACACAGCCCTGCCACGGGATCACAGACTGGTTTGGGTTGGGAAGGACTTTGAAGGTCATCTTGTCCCACCCCCTGCCATGGGCAGGGACACCTTCCACCAGCCCAGGTTGCTCCAACCCGGCCTTGGACACTTCCAGGGGTGGGGCAGCCACTGCTTCTCTGGGCAACCTGTGCCAGGGCCTCCCCACCCTCACAGGGAGGAATTCCTTCCCAATATCCCACCTAGCCCCGCCCTCTGGCAGTGGGAAGCCATTCCCTGCGTCCTGTCCCTCCCCAGCTCCCTTGGAGCCCCCGCCATGGCGCCCTCCCCTCCCAGCCCCCGCGCATGCGCACGGCCCCGCCCTGGGCGCCGCCTGTGACGTAAGCGGAAGGGCACGTCACGCTCCGGCCGAGGCTGAGGGGGCACCGGCGGGGCAGGGACCGGGAGCGGGACCGTGAGAGGTACCGGGAATGGGGGGGAAACAGGGAGGTACCGGACACCGCGGGGGAACAGGGTGGGGGCCGGGGCAGGTACCAAGCACCGAGGGGAAACCGGACACCGGGGAGAACTGGGGGGGGGGGCTAGGGTAGGTACCGAGACCGGGAGGGGGCCGGGGCGGTACCAGGACACCGGGAGGAGACCGAAGGAGGTACCGGGCACTGGAAGGGAACTGGGCGTCCGGGGAGACACCGGGAGGGGACCGGGTGAGGTAGCAGGCACCGGGAGGGAACCGGGGAGGGCACTGGTACCGGGCAGGAGCTGGGCACCGGCGAGATACCGGGAGGGGAGTGGAGAAGGTACCAGGCACCGGAGGGGAACCGGGCACCGGGAGGGGACCGGGGCAGGTACCGGGCATCCGGGGACATCGTGGTGGGGGGGACTGGGCAGCGGGCATCGGGCAGGAACTGGGCAGTAACCGGCCACCGGGTGGACGTTGGGTCGAGGAATCGGGCACCGGGGGAAAGGCCAGGGAGGCACCGGGAATTGGCCACTGAAGAAAACCCGGATGGCACCGGGGAGGGCACCGGGGGGGAGGGCACCGGGACGCCCCTCGGGGGTGGGGGGTTGAAGGCGCGGGGGAGCCTCGTTCCACCGGGGCTCTCCCGGTGGAGGCCCGAGGGCCGCCCCGTGCCCGCCTCCCCCTCGCCCGGGGGGACTGTCGGGAGCTGAGTCACCGCCGGTCCTTCCCCCGCTCGGAACCGGAGGCGGGGGCAGCGGCGTCCCGGGGCTTCGCGGGGGGCGAGTCCCGGCCCTGCCGTGCTCTGCCCCGGGGCACAGACAAGGGGCTGCTCTGGGAAGGTTTATCTTTAAGGTGACTCTGTAAAATCGCCCCTAAAAGGTTGATGAACAGCCAGAGTTGGCGTTGGGATGTTCTCAGCCCGAGCTGTGCAAGGGGAGGGTTAAGAGCTTTAGAACAGCCCGAGGTTCAGCAGTTCCTCGCCTTAATGACTTGTGGGTAGAGATCCCTTCCTGAGGAATGAGGCAGAGAAAGCCCATATGGAACAATAATGCCATCGGTGTAATTGAATCTGCCTCTGCCCCTGGAGGGTGGAATGATATCCGGGTGGCTGGATCTGGGCTGTTGCCCCCACAGCTCTCTCAGCTTTGCTGCTGTGCCCATGTGTCTCAGTGTTCCTGACTGAGAGACCTGAAGAAATGTGGAAATTCAGTAAACTTGTTAGCTCAAACCACATCTTAGGATTTGATGTGCAGGTATTGTGGTAAAAAAAGCCCCAATATTTTTACAGCTCTTTATTTGTGAAGGCAAAGAAGTACCAGTGGGTGACATGGGCACAGGGCAGTTGTGGTGCAGGTTGTGGCTTCATAAAAGTCAGTTTGTGCTGATGCTACCCTGTGAGTGGCATACAAATTGTGTGTCTGTACCAGCTTGGCTGGAGGTCTCAGTGGTGGTTTTCCTTTCCACCAGCAAGGATTCACTTGGATGACACAGCTGGGAAATTCCAGAGCTCATTTCTGAGCTTTTCCATTGCCTGCTTATCAAAGGACTTGTGCAGACAGTATAAAGGGCTCCAGAACAGCAAGTCAAAGCTGATTTTTTCAAGGTGGTTTGTTTGCTTTGGGCTCAAACAGTCATCTTTAACCCCTTTATTTTCATCTTCCCTTTGAAAAAGGAAAAGGAGCTCTGGGTAAAACATGTCGTGGATCAGAGAGGGCGAGCTGACCATCATAGAGAGGTTCTGTGCCAACATCATTAAGGTAAGGGATGGGTAAAGAACTGGCAGGTTCACCAGGGTTCAGGGTGGAACTGTCTCTGGAAAGGGAGCACTGCTGGCAAGGGTGCACTTAATGCTGGCACGGGATGTACATCCCTGAACAGCATTTCAGGGTGGGAGATTATTTAAGCTTAGTCTTGAAAAAGAGCAAGGCTGTAGGCAGAGCTTGCCAATAATGAGCTTACACTCCCAGCCTTCCATGCTGTGTGCCCTTGCTGATGAAGGCAGGGCATGGGAAGGAGGGAGAGAAGAGAGATGGTCGGATTGGGGGTCTTAAGAAATGTAACTGAGTTTCTCTGGATTGGAATAATAACTCACCAGTTCTAGGAAAATTCTGTCCTTGGTCAGCAGAGGCTTGAGGCTGGTGGTGCTGCCCTTCAGACCCAGTGAGGTCAGTGGAAAGGAATAGTCCTTTTTGTGGAGGGAAGTCTTATGACCTTCTTTTTGTTTTCTCTGAAGTTAACTGTGAAAAGGCCCTTGAACTATAAAGAAACATAGCAAAAAACTGTGTGCACCCTCTCCTGTGGCTGCAGAGAGGTTGCTGTGGCAGCACTGCTCTCCTGAGTACTGCAGTCCTCTCATGTGAGAGGAACAGGGAGGGCAAATTTGCTTTTTAGTTTAGGCAGTTGTCAATGCTGACATATTTTTGGAGACCCCATACTGGGGTAGACAAAGAGGAGATGAACACCTTACTCATTCCAGCTGCAGATTTCATACCCTTGCACTCCTACAAACAGGCAGTGCTGCCAGGACCGGTGAGGCTGAACTGTCTGTGGCTGAGATGCCTGTTCCCCCTCAGATCTGTTGTGTTTCTCCTTGTTTTCCAGGCAGGTCCAATGCCCAAGCACGTCGCCTTCATCATGGATGGCAACCGCCGGTACGCCCAGAAGTGTCACGTGGAGAGACAGCAGGGGCACTCAGAAGGCTTTGATAAGCTGGCACAGGTGGGAAGGATGTTTGCTGCCTTGCTGTGGTGCAGGTTTGAGCTGTGTTTGCAGCTGGACTGGTGTCTTGTGTTCCTTCTCTTCACTGGAGTCAGTGCTTGGAGGTACCTGCAGAGTCACTCCTGGGCTTGGAGCTGACATTTGTCATCAGGATTCACAGCTTCAGCTCCTCTCTCTTTGTTATCTTGCAGAGTCATTCTATTCAGCTGTTTTCCCCTCAGTTTTATACTCAATTAAAATATCTACCTTACAGATCCTGAAGCTTTTATTTCTGTGAAACAGGTTGGAAGAGGTTTTGAAAGGTACAGTACTATAAAATTTATAACATTACCTACAAGAGGTACTTTCCCGACTGGATTAGTCCCATATCCGTGATGGATTCTCATCCTCAGGGAGTGCTATTTTCCTTCTGTTCTTTAAAATGAACCTGAATTTCACATCTAGTGGGTTTCATTGTCAGCTCTTGATGGTTGTTTCTTTTGATCCAGTCTTGGCATCGTGGGAACCGACAGGAGGGTTTTACAGTAGAAAAGCTGGGTCTTGTTGGCCTCTCTGACTGTCTCAGTCTGTTTATCTGACTTTCGTTTTTCTGTGATGTTTTGTCTTCTTGCAGACACTACGGTGGTGCTTAAATCTGGGCATTCAGGAGGTGACTGTTTATGCCTTTAGCATCGAGAACTTCAAACGCTCCAAGGAGGAGGTGGATGGACTGATGGACCTGGCAAGACAGAAGTTCAGTCGCCTCCTGGAAGAACAGTAAGAGTCCTCTCGTGTCTGTCTGTATCCCACAGGGTGCAACTGAAGCAGAACGTGATGAAGAGATGTTTACAGGGATGTTACAAGTTGTGGAAATGGATTAAATGAAGGAAAACCTTCTCCACCTCCAGTTAGAGATTTGTCCAGAGGGGCTCTGCCTGCCTGGATGAGATATAGAGCTCCTGTGCATCACAGTCCCCACCACCACCACCAGATTTGTGTCAACAGTCCCATCCAAACCATGGGGACAGGACAGCATTCAGATAAGCAGGAGTTTCTGATTGTGCTGATTTAGTACCAGAGTGCCAGATGCCTTGTTTTCATTAAGTATCAAAGCATTGTCTTAATTTTTGATTAGTTAGAGGTGCCTGGAGTCTGTGTTAGTATTCTAAGCTTCCATGTGGATTTTTATAACTTTTAGGTAGGGGTGCCTAATCCGTGATCATTTCCTAGGCCTTTGGTTATGTCTGTGCCTCAGGAACTTGTATGGGGAATGATCAGTTTCCCTCTATGGAATGGTTTGGGATCATCAAATCCAAGCCAGCTTTGCACACCTAAAAAACATTTGGTGGTTTTGCCTTTCTCTAATTCTCAGTTTTACTGAAGCTGTTGGTGGATGTAACACAGGGCAGATGTGGCACTTGTGCAGTAGAGCTTGCCCTGTTTTCTGTGGTTCTCACTCTCGTTGTTGGGTGTAGGGAGAACCTGAAGAAGCACGGGGTGTGTATCCGTGTCCTCGGGGACCTGCCACTCCTGCCCGTGGATATTCAGGAGCTGATTGCCCAGGCTGTGCTGGCAACCAGGAACTACAACAAGTAAGTAACACTCAGTTTAAATTGCTGACACCTCAGTTTAAATTGCTGACACCTCACGTCTTCCCTCTTCTTCCTGAAGGCTGAGACTTGGCAGACATGCTACACCTCTTTTTTCATCTTTGTCCTACAGTCACACATAACTGTCACCTGTTGGACCTTCCTTGGATTAGCCTTTCACATCTTTTCCTCTTTTCAGATGCTTTCTAAATGTCTGCTTTGCATACACATCGAGACATGAGATCAGCAATGCTGTGAGGGAGATGGCCTGGGGGGTGGAACAAGGACTGCTCGAACCCAGGTAACTCTTGGCTTTCTCTGTGAGGTTTCCTGGGTGAATCCTGCCTGCCTTGCCATCTACACTGCATGAGCAACCTCTCAGAAGCCAAGTGGCTTTTAGAAATATCTCATTAAACCAGTAGGACTGGAACAAATGACTTAAAGTTACTATGCAATGTTTGGTTTTTATTATTTCAGTTGCCATGGGGATAGGTACACAACCAAGACAGACAAGAAATTAGGTCTGTGTCTTAAGTTAGTTCAAATGTGAAGGCAGATTTTATGTCACAACAATTGGCTGCTTGGCTGACAGTCTTAGCTATGAGGTCAAACAACAGATGAATCATGAATACTGCACTGTTCCTCCACCCTGAAGGAGACAGAGTAGTTACACTCTGCTCCAGCTGGAAATCCTCACAGTCTGGTTCCACCTCTGTGTTATGTTTCAAAGAGAATGGAGGGGGATGCTCTGGGAGGGGCTGAAGGAGCATTTGGAATAGCCTGTGGAGCAGCCAGCAGTGTCCATCAGAAGCAAGCTGATGACTGGCTGTGCTTCAGCTCTACCACCCAGTTTTAACCTGCAGTCCTGTGTTTATGTGAAACCCCTCAGCAATTCTGATTTAGTAGTGCCACATCCACCAGGTCAGGATAATAAATTAATAAAATATGTCTGTCTTTTAGTGATGTGTCAGAATCCTTGCTCGATAAGTGTCTGTACACCAACAACTCCCCCGACCCAGACCTCCTGATCCGGACCTCTGGAGAGGTTCGCTTGAGTGATTTCTTGCTCTGGCAGGTAAAGTCCTTCTTTTCTCTTTGAAATATTCCATCTCTACCTCAAAGAGTGCTAGTGCTCTACTGGCTCCAGGTGTGAGCTGACATGAGGGCTCTGAAACTCTCTCTGCCAAGGGTTAGGCAACTTCTTGCATGGACTGAGTGCTGAGGCACCTCTGAGGAGTCTGTTTCTTGCCTAAAATACCTTGCAGCGCAAATCTGAAATTGTATCATCCTGAAAACACTTAATAATGAATCACAAATCAGCCTAGGTGACAGCAGTCAAGGAAATCCTGAATTGCTCATCCTTTTGGTCCTCTCCTCACGTTTAGGTAATTCCTTATTTGAGTGGTAAATTCCTGGCTTTGATTAATTTAACCTGGCAGTACGTTTCCTGGGATGAGGAAGTCCAGGAAGGACTTATAGATTCCTGGGGAGACGTTTGTCATGTGTCAGCTGGAGGTGTAGCCCTATAATGTACATCTAATGTACATGCCTGACTTGTCACAGTTTCAGGAGTCTATTTGACTTCCATAATAAAACAAAACCCCACAAGACAGGTTCTGAGGGTGGCAAAGCCAAATCAGCATGACTGGGCTGCTAAGCTAAAACATAATAAGCTCCTAATGCATAAAAAGTTCATGTGTTGGCAGTTAAAATACCCAAAGCTGCTTCCATTTCACTCTCTCCTGTGCCAGGCAGTGTTGACCTGCTTGTAGAGAACATTTGAGTCGAGCTGCTTCACTTAAAGCTCACATGTTGTTTTGCATATACAGTTTGGAGCCAAAACCCAATTGCCTTTAAGCAACCACATCAAATGTTCCCATTCCAAATTGTTTAATTGGGAAGTTCTCAGAAGCTCTCAGGCCTGAGTTGTGGTTACCTGCCAAGGCATCCCCCTCTCCTCCCTCCAATTTTGAGCACACCTGTACCTTGGATGAGTGCTATGAAATAACACTTTGCTTGCTCCTCTCAGTGGTAGAGGAGTCCTTTTAAGTGTTAGATTTTTTGGTAATGGCCATGGGAACACATTTACCTGAAATTTTGAGGAGCCTGATGGCAAAAACAGGCTTTGACCTGAAAGGGTTCATCGTTCAGCTTGAGGATATCTTCAGTGCACCACAACTCTTGGCTTCATTGAGCAGTTTAAATGCCATGAATGGGCAGTAAGGAGTATCACTACATGTCATTTGAAGAATGGCTTAAATGTCATGTCCTGATCCTCAGTTCAACTATTACTCCCTTAGACTTTGGTACCCCAGTGTTGCTATTTTAGTTTTTTTTATAAGTCTGTGATGCTTAAGCTATTAAAAATACCTCTGTGAAGACCAGCACAACATTAGAAAGAATTCTGATGTCTTTGCAGGAGTGGATGACTAGTGTCCCAGCATTAAAAAGTAATTAGAAAGACTCTGCGTTGTGCAATTTCAAACTCTCCTGGCTGGTACTTATTTTAAGTAGAATCTGATAACACAGCTTAGGTAAAACCTTTGTGGGGAAACTGGCATAGTTTGCCCAGCAGAGCTGCATCTTGATGACTTTTTCCCCTTGCTCCATGATTGAATTGTTGGTGATCTTCCTTTCTGCAGACATCCCATTCATGCCTGGTGTTTCAATCAGTCTTGTGGCCAGAATATTCCTTTTGGAACCTGTGTGAGGCAATCCTTCGGTTCCAGATGAACTACGGTGCTTTACAGGTAAGGGAGCCCCAGGGAGGAAAAGCTCAACACCAAGTGCTACCTGCACAGTTGGAGATCAGGTGAGAGGGTGCAAAGTGGGAGCAGGAATTGTTAGTTAAGATCCTGTTGCAGTAGCAGCTCGTGCCAGATGTGTTGCTTCTCCTCTTGTACCCATGTGGCTTGTTACAACATCTTAGTGTGTGGCCAGACTCCTCTGCTTTCAGCAATACCCAAAATGTCTAAAGCCACCACTGTCTCTGTTACTCATTGCTCACTCCCCCAGCTGGAATATCTGTCCCAGAACTCACACAACAAGTAAGGACTCCTGATCTGCTACAGGGTGAAAACAACCAGTTTGACTCAAACACTTCATCAGTGGCTTAAGCAAAGACTGCTGAGCTCACACTGGAACGAGCAGGGAGAATTTCCATGCTCTTCCTCTAACCCCCCTATTGTTTTGAGGGTTGTAACAAGTGGGTTTAGAGTTTGCTTTCTGGGAGCTGAAGTGGGGCTGCCTGAGCTGTGAGTCTGTGGACAAATGTCCTCTTTCTGGTGGGTCCAGATGTACCTGCTGAAGGGATTGTTCCCATTGACATTTTTCCTCTCCTCTTAGATCTGTTGTTGTGAGCTCTCCCTGACCTGGTTCAGATAAATCTGGCCAACTAAACAGTGATTTAGTAATCTGGCTATTTATAAGCAAAGCAAGTGTGGGAGCTGGAGCTCTTGATAAGGAAGTTTGGGGGGCAGCAGCTTGTAGAACAGAGATAACAATAATTGGCAGGAGGAGGACCTCGGGGTGGTGACTCTTAACCTCCACCATATCTGGTCACTGAGTGTGTCTGTTCCTTAGTTATTTGGGTCCTCTTTTTAAAACAGGCATTATATTGCCCTTTTCTACCTTCAAGGACCTTGCTCACCTCTGAGAGTTGTCAAAGAGATTACAGCCAGTCATGGTTAGGGCTGAATTTAATCAGGTGCAGTCAGTCTGGCAGCATCCAAACTCTCCACGTCCTTAACCTCTTTTATTCCTATTCCTGGACCAAGTTTGCCCTTTTCCTACCAGCAGTTCATTGTATTAGTACAACTAATGGCAGTTCACCTTCTGCATGAAGAGGGAAGCAAAAAAGGCAGTAGTGTTTGTCATTGCCATGAGCTTGGCCTCTGTCTGGAACAGTAAGGTCACTGTTCTGACTTTGCTCCTGGTGCTGGTTTCTGACTGGTAACAAATGCTGCTTCTGTTCCCAGCTATTCTCATCTTTTCTTAGTCCTGGTTTGTGGCTGGATGTGCTCATGCCATGCTATTATCAAGGTTTCTTATTGTCCAGATTTGTTCTCTGGTCAGTTTTCTCCCTGTAAGACCCACTTTGCAGTATCTAAAGCTGCAGGGTTTCAAGGGAGACCTCACAATTGTGCAAAGGAAGGATTTCTCCCTCAGAGGAACTGCTGAGATTTAGGAGCTGGATTTTTTTTCATTTAAATAGGTGATCTTGAAAGCCAAAAGTACCTAGATCTCATGAAACTAATTCCCTTGGTGGAAGGGTTACTGTCAATGAGGCTGGTGGAGCCAGGGGGTGACTTGCTGAGAAGCCAGGATATATTCCAGCAGCTGTGACTGCTTTGGGAATGTGCTGCTGCATTTGGGATGCTGGAGGCAGTTTGGGTGTAGATGGGCAACTGTAGAAGGGGGTGACAAAATACATTAAAAAACTTGATTAGGAAGTATTTGATAAAAGATTTCCTCCTTTCATTGACTCAAACAGCATCACAATTAATGGCTGCCATCTTAATTTTCCAGTTACCCTGCTGCTCAACAGGTAGTCCCAGGATCAGCTAGAACTTGCTTTTGGTGCCTGGTAGATCTAGGGAGAGAATTAAGAATTCATTCTCTGCCCAGCCTGCCCCATGCAGGGGTCAGGCCCAGTCTTTTCTGGTGAATAAACAGAATTTCACTTTAAAGGTTGAAGGCTTCTGCTGAACAGGCTGATGGTCCCTGCATTTCACATCAGCCCTGGAGTGCTGGGGTTTCAGTAGCTGGGAATATTTCTGCTCTCATTCCCAGCACAACAAAAGCTTATTTCCAGTGCCAGAGCATAGGCTGACTTGGGCTCAGGGAAAGTGTGGGGAAGAGTGAGTCAGGCTCTCATTAGAGTAATTATTTCTCCTTGCTTGTTTGAAACACCAGCACTCCCTAAGTGTGTGTGTGCGTGCGTGTGTCAGGTTATGTCACGGTGACCAGTTTAACTGTTTTTAAAAATAGAAGCTTAATATTCCTACATGCTGCTGATGTGTTTTTGTTGTTGGAGGCTGCAGGCCAGGACATGTGCAATAAGGAGAGATCTGAAAGTGATGTTCTCCAACAAAAGATTTCAAATACTTGAAGGGTAGGCAAGGATGGCTCCTGCCTTTGCCTTATTCCTGCCCATCCTGCTGTGTCTCAAGCCAGTACATTATTAGATCACAGGCATTTGGGAATGCTGAGCCCATTCCTGCTTTTGTTCTGAAGCTGATTAGCTCAATACCTGATCATCTGCTCAAAGAATTGCCCTATAAATCATTGTTCTGAATCCCCTAAAACCTTTCAGCTGCCAGGGGAACAGGATCAAAGATGCTGCAATGACACTGGTGAGAACAGCAGTGTGCCCGTCTGGGCTTTAAATGTTCTCTTGTAGCTGTTCCTCTGATTCCAGTATCTGAGGGTTTTCCACAATGTATTGTGACCTTTACCTATTTTAACTAAGTGCGAGCAGAGTTGTGTCTTGGGGAAAGGTCCAGAAGGATATCCCTGTATTTTTCACAGCCAATCAAGCAGGCAGCCTCAAAGTGGAGGAGGCAGACCCAGAGCCACCCTTCATTTAACCTGCAGGTTGATGGGCAAGCAGAGCCTGTGCTGCCTCACATCTGTACCACAGGTCAGCTGAGAGGCCTGGTAAGGTGCTAACACTGCCCTGCTTTTCACTCCAGAAGGCCAGAGACTCCTACATGGAGGAGAGGAGGCGACAGCAGATGGAAAGGGATCAGGATTATGTGACAAGGAAGCTGCAGCAGGAAGGGTGTGCATCCCACGGAGACTCCCGGCGCCGACGGACTCTGCTGCAGAAATGCACGGCCATGCGGGAGGAGAGGATCCAGGGCTTCCTGCAGGCACTGGAGCACAAGAGAGCAGACTTCTTTGAGAGATTGTGTACGGTGTCTGCATGACACAGGGGCTGGGTTACCTCAGGAAGACAACTTTTAGAGGGAGCTGCCCAGAGGAGCTGGCTCGCTGTGGCCCTGCAGCGGGGATGCGGGGCTGCTCTAGGACTTGCCGTCCCCGCTGGCCCTGCTCGAGGGCAGGGACAGGGACTGTGACCCTCTCTAGTGCTGTGAATGCTGCTGAGGAAGGTGATGCCGTCCTGTCTCACCTCCCTCCTATGATGGCAGACAATACCTGCACCCTCGGTGACAAGAAGTTAAACTGCAATGAGCCTCCAGTTCTGTTTGACTCCTCGTGAATTGGCCCAGCCAAACCAATTCAGTCCCATTAAATCAGTCCTGGGCTTGAATTCTTTCCATGGCTTTGCAGTAGGGAATCTTCTGTTGAGATTTCCTCTGCTGTCCCATCAGGGGAGCCTTGCTTTCTGGCAGGGAGAGGGTTATTCCTGGTGTCAGGGACATTCCCCACTGCCTGCTTTGGGATAGCATCTTGTCTTTTCCCCACCTGACTCTGCTGGGTTGGATAGATCTGCTCTTGGTTTCCAAAGAGCTAAAGAAGGTGTTGCCAGCCTTGCTGTGAAGAAAAAAATACTCCAAAGCTTCACCAGGTCCTGTGATCCATCTGAGCAGTGTGGGGAAAACCCAAGTGCAGAAGATGCTGGTGTTGGACCAGACTGACCTTGGGAAAGGCTCCGAGCAGGCAAGGAAAAAGGATTGGTTGGGAATTAACCTCATGGCTTAGAAGGGAAAAGAAGTTAGCTAAACCCAGGTGATGGCTACAGTATGCCAAATCCCTCTGAGCCCTCTCCAGAGCCAAGTTCCAGGGAATATGGGTGGGCTTAATTCAGGAATACAGTAGCCAAACCCAACCCCTGACCCCAGCCAAAATGGTCCAGAAGGGCTATTTGGCTGATTTTAGCAGGAGTGGCCGGAGCAGCTGTGGAGTGTTGTTTGTTCTTAGTTTTCCATTGGCAGGGAGCTGGACAAGCTGATTTCCAAGATTGTTTCCATCTCTGATTTCTCCTGGTTTCCGTCCCCATGGTCAAAATAAGTGAAAATGTCTTGATTTTTTTGTTTGTTTGTTCCTGATGCACACACAGGTGCGGCAGTACCAGCTATTGCTGGGTTTAAAGTGTTTCTTTTTACCTCCAGGTGAAAACTAGAAAATGCAGGTTTAAAGGACTTGTAAGTGCTGCAGAGTGAGCACTTGGCATGTGATTGTGAAGAGGATAACTGCGTTGTCAAACGGGGAATAAAGCATATTCATACCAAAGTTATTTAAAAAAATGAGCTGAATGTTTAAAACTACATAGAGCTGCTTATTCTAAGGTGTGATGAAGTTGGCGTCCAGGTCTAATATAATAATATTTAACCTGTGACAGGCTCCTCATGTGATTCCTGTTAGCCTGGGAATGATTTGAAGGTTCTTTTTACAGTGTACTGTGACCAGTTTGATGGTACTCCAAAGCTTGGCCAAGTCAAGCTGCACATGCAGGTACCACCTCTTGTGTAAGTAGCAAACAGAATTTGGATAAAGATGTGCTGAGATGATGGGAGCTGTTGATTTTTAAACTTCTTTTGCTGTATTTTCTCCACATTTCAGGAAACTGTGGGAATAATGCGCTCTCCATGAGATGGAACACTGTCCAGTCTGCTTTGCCTGGCTGATGGGGAGGTTCTTCTACCCAAAAAATGTATTTTTGCCTTAAAAAAAAAAAAAAAGCTTTTCCATTGTGTTATGATTCTACAGGTGACCAAAGCCACAGTGGTGGCTTTCCACAAAGTACTGTTGCAGGTGTGGTAAGTGAAGGATCTGGTTTACAAAAGGTTTGTAGGGGAAGTTTTAATAATCCCTTTTATAAAAGGCATCACTGGAGTAGGGGAGGAGGAAAAGTCCTTCAAGCAGTGGCAGAAGGTTTGTATTACCTGAGTTTGTATATCCTACTGCATCAGTCATTCCAGTAGATATAATTCCAGTTATGTCCCCTGTAAGTCTGCCTTTATTAGAGGGTGGGCATAAGTTACCCAGGCAAACTTGGGAGTTTCAGGAGTCCGTCTTTCCAGTGAATCTGTGGGGACAGAGCCACAGCCTTCTGTCAGTGAGAACTGAACATGCATAATTCGTGTTTATGGGGTGAAGATGGGAAAAATCAGCACGGCTGGAAAGATGTGCAGTCAAGGCCTAAAAAAGCCTGGGGAAGAGAGCAGGGGGGAGGGAAGGCTATTCCTTGGGGTGTTTTTTGGGATGAGGTTCAATTAAAAAGTGAGAAGTTTGGGGCACAACAAAGTCGTGATGAAGATCCTTAGATTTGAAAGACAGGGGCTGTGGCCCTGCCAGGTGAGAGGAATGTCCCCTCCTGGGAGCAGCCCAACTCCCCGAGCCGCCTGGCACCACCATGGGTCACCTGTCTTAATCCCTTTAACCCTC